TTCTCATCTTCTTTCTTAATTCTCTTACTAATGTCAATATCTAATTGTCATTCTCATTTTAACTCTCTTAATTACCTTCAATCTTACCCTCTTCCATAACTCTCATAATTGCTCATTGATTAATTCTTATCCTCCTCCATAAAATGTCTTTATTATGTTACTGACTAATTGCCTCAATAACTAATTCTCATCCTCTTTGCTAACCCTCTTAATTATGCCAAAAACTTATTCTCATCCTCTTCCATAACCCTCTAAATTATGAAAATGACTAATTTTCCTCCTTGTCCATAACCCTCATGATTATGTCAATAACGAATTTTCATCCTCTTCTGTTACTCTCTTAATTACCTCAATGACTAATTCTTCTCCTATTCCTTAATCCTATTAATTATGCCCTTGACTAATTCTTATCCTTTTTGTAAAGCCTCATAATCATGTCACCGAATTTCATCCTCTTCCTTCACCCTCTTAATTATGCCAATGACTAAAAAAATTCTTATCCTTTTTCTTGACCCTTTTAATTATGACTCTCATATTCTCACTCATCCTCTTCAATATCTTAATCTTCTCCTCTTCCTTAACTCTCTTCACTTCATCAATGACCATTTCCTTTCCATGTCCTTAAGCGTCTTATTATGTCAATGACTAATTCTCAATCTGTTCCAAAACCCTCTTAATTACGTCCTTGACTAATTCTCATCTTCTTTTTTAGTTTTTGCAATGTCAATGTCCAATTGTCATTCTCATCTTTAACTCTCTTAATTGCCTCCGTAATGAATTCTTATCATCTTCCATATCTCTCATAAATGCTCAATGACAAATTCTTATCCTCTTCCATAAATCTCTTTATTCTGTCACTGACTTATTACGTCAATGACTTATTCTCATCCTCTTTGCTAACCCTCTTAATTACGCCAAAAACTTATTCTCATCTTTTTCTGAAACCCTCTTAATTACCATAATGAATAATTCTTATTCTCTTCCTAATCCCTTTTAATTACGTCAATAACTAATTCCCATCCTTTTCCGTTACCCTCTTAATTACGTCCATGACTAATTCTTCTCCTATTCCTTGAACCTCTTAATTAAGTCCTTGACTAATTTTCTTCCGTTTCTAAAGCCTCTTAATTATGACCTGACTTTCATTCTGTTGGTAAAGATTATTATTCTTTTTTTTTCTACTTCCTACTCCTATTTATGCCAACTTTGAAAGCTCATATCTCACTCATTTCTTAATTGATTTCGCTCAAATTTTGAACTAAGTTACTAAACTCTATCAGAATGCTGTCGAAAATGTCAAAAAGTCACTTCCGGTTTTGAGTTATTTCCCTTTAAACGAAAATTTATAGGCTTTCGTTTCCAGACAAAGGCTCGGAGACGGCTAAAGCTGGAGCAGAAATTCTACTGATTTTAGATAATAGAGGGATTGAAGTTGTGCACATCGGTTTTTGTTTTTCGATTTCTCTATTCAAAATGGCGCTATATAGGGGTCAAAAATTAGAACGCTTAAAAGAGCCAAAAATTACTCATATTTTGCTTTTTATCTTCTAAACTAAAAATATTTTGTTAAACTATATAGAACATAATTTGTGCAGAATTAGAAGGTCTTTTAAATGATATCTCGGAAAAAGGGCTTCTAAAATTAAGTGCCAAGAGGGGCCAAAAGTTTTTCTTAATTCCGTTATATCTCAAAAAGTATTGAGAATTTGTAATACGTCAAAGAAGCAAAGTTGTTAAAAATGTCAAGCTTAATCTATTGAGGTCGTCAAATTACGTCCGGCTAACGTCACTTCCGGCCAAACCGGAAGTAGTCGGAAAACGCATATTTTGCCATTCTTGACAAGTTTTTGGGTAACATCTGTCACTGGGAGCATAAAAATTAATTTTCCAAAAACCGTCGTCGTCACTTCCTAAACCGGAAGTAGCAAAAAATGGCTGATTTTTGCATTAAATAACATAGATTTAAAGGATTTAAACAATTTTAGGACGTTATTACTCATTTTTGTAAAAATAAAAGTTCTTCCGGTCAAACATTACGGAAGACTAATTCTTATGCTTTGCAACGAGCTTTGCTCTAGTTCTTATCCTATTTCTAAAGCCTCTTAATTATGTCACTGACTTTCATCCTCTTCCTTTACTCTCTTAATTACGACAATTAAATTTTTAAAATCCTTAACACTCCTAATTACACCAATTGCTTATTCTATTCTCTTCCTTATCCCTCTTAATTATACTTCAATCAATTCTTTTTTTTCCTCTTCCTTAACTCTCTTAATTACCTCAATAACTGATTCTCATCCTTTTCCGTAACCCTCTTAATTACCTCAATGACTAATTCTTATCCTCTTCCTAATCTCATTTAATTATGTCAATAACTAATTCCTGACCCATATCATAACCCTCTTAGTTACATCATTAACCTATTCTTATCCTATTCCGTTACCCTCTTAATTACGTCATTAACTTATTCTGTTTTATCCTCTTCTGTAACCTTCTTAATGATAACAAATTCTTTACCTCTTCTTCTCCTATTTCTAAATCCTCTTAAAGATCGTCCTTGACTTATTCTTAACCTCTTTCTAAAGCCTCTAAATTATGTCAGACTTTCATCCTCTTCCTTCACTCTCATAATTATGTTACTTTCTCTTTTTATTCCTTTACACTCCTAATTACATCAATAACTAATTTTCATTGCCTTCCAACTAATTCTTGTCCTTTTCTTTAACCCTCTCAATAACTTTAATGACTTATTATTATCATCTTCCATATTCCTTCAAATTATGTCACTGACTACTAATTAAGTCAATCACTATTTTGTATTCTCTTCCTTCTCCCTCTTAATTACCTCAATGACTAATTCTTATCCTTTTCCGTAACCCTCTTAATTATTCTAATGACTAATTCTTATCCTCCTCCGATATCCTCTTAATTACGTCAAAAACTATTTCTCATCCTCTTCTGTTACCTCTTAATTATGTCAATAACTAATTCTCATCCTTTTCCGTTACCCTCTTAATTACGTCAAAAACTAATTCTTATCCTCTTCCTTATCCCTCTTGATGACATCAAAAAACAAATTCTCATCCTTTTTTGTAACTCTCTTAATTATGTCACCGACTCTTATATTCTTCCTTAAACCTTTTGATTTTCTCAGTACCTAAATCTTATCCTCTTCCTTAACTCTCTTAATTATGTCAATAACTTATACTTTCCTCTTCCTTATCCTTCTTACTTAGGTCAATGACTAATGTTTATCCTCTTCCTAAAGGCTATTACTTCCTAAAGGCTATTACTTATGTCAATGACTATTTCTTATCCTTGTTCTTATAAGTGTCTTAATTATGTCAATGACTAATTCTCAATCTGTTCCCAAACCCTCTTAATTATGTCCTTGACTAATTATCATCTTCTTTCTAAATTCTCTTAATAATGTCATTCTCATCTTTAACTCTCTTAATTACCTCTATAACTTATTCTTATCCTCTTCCATAACCCTCATAAATGCACAATGACTACCGGTAATTCTTATCCTCTTCTATCAATCTCTTTATTATGTGATTAAGCTTCTTAATTATGTCACTGACTTTCTCTTTTTATTCCTTAACACTACTAATTACGTCAATCACTAATTCTCATTGTCTTCCATTAACCCTCTTAATTACCTCAATGACTAATTCTTGTCCTTTTCTGAAACCCTCTTAATAACTTCAATAACTTATTCTCATCCTTTTCCGTAACCCTCTTAATTATGTCAATAACTAATTCTCATCCTCTTCTGTTACCCTCTGAATTACATCAATAACTACTTCTTATCCTCTTTCTTACCCCTCTTAATTTTGTCGACTAATTTTCATCTTATTCCCTAACCCTCTTAATTACATCCTTGAATTTTTATCCAATTCCTTAACACTCTTAATTATTTCATTGACTTTCATCCACTTCCATTACTCTCTTAATTACGTCACTTAGTTTTTTTTTTATTCCTTAACACTTCTTATTACATCAATCACTATTTCTATTCTCTTCCTTATCAATCTTAATTACTTCAATGAATAATTCTTATCCTCTTCCTTATCTCTCTTAATTACGTCAAAAACTGACTCTCATCCTTTTCTATAATCCTCTGAATTATGTCAATGACTTATTCTCATCCTCTACCGTAACCCTTATAATTATATCATTAACTTATTCTAATCTTCTTCCGTAACCCTCTTAATTACGCCATTAACTTATTCTTATCCTCTTCCGTTACCTTCTTAATAATGTCAATAACAAATTCTTAACCTCTTCTTTCACCCTCTTAATTATGCTAATGACTAATTCTCATCCTCTTCCGCGACCCTCTTAATTATGTCGCTGACTCTCATACTCTTCCTTAACTTCTTTATTATCTCAATACTTAATGACTAATTCTTATCCTCTTCCTAAAGGCTCTTAAATACGTCAATGACTAATTCTTATCCTTGTCCTTAACACTCTTAATTACGTCCTTGACTAATTCTCATTATTTTACTTAGTTCTCTTAATAATGTCAATATCTAATTGTCATTCTCATCTCTAACTCTCTTAATTACATTAATTCCTATCCTCTTTAATTACAGTTTCCTTGACTAATTCTCTAATATTTGCAAAGTTTTCTTCAATTCTCTTAATAATGTCAATATCTAATTGTCATTCATGCGTATACTGTTGAAATACATAACTCTCGCTGAAAATTACCTCCATAACTTGCTGTTAAAATACATATGGTTTACCAATGGTTTCCGCAATAGAAACTTGCTGAAACTGAGGTATACGCAAGGTTTCAGATGCGTATACGGTTGAAATACATAGTACCAATGGTTTATAGAAACTTGCTTTACTTGAGGTATACATAGGGTATACATATAGGTTTCCGCAACGGAAACTGTAGTATTGACTACACAATTTAGCCCTGGTTTTCAACCAAAAGTCATTTCCCCCTGAATTCTCATATTGGAAAAAACAACAACACACTAACACTAGTTATCAAAGAATATTTAATGTTATTACCAACATTTACATACGTCGGGTTGAACATTTTTCTCTTGCATCATAAACATTTTTACAGCTAAGTCCAAGCCCTCAAGTCACGACAGGAGGACAGAGAAAATGTCTGCATTTAATGATGTCTCATATATCAGAGATATAATCTTGCGAGAGGAACTTAGAACTGCATTAATACTGCAATCATCAACTAAACCTGAATTCGGTTTATGCAAGTCTAGTATTATCAAGGAAATGTAAAATTACTTGGTATAATAAATGCACAAGTTCACATCATAAGTAGCCAATAAGCACCAAGGTGGATTCCTTTGTTAAAAATTCATTTTGTAGTCCATCATCAACCAACAGAAAAGTCCCTGAGTGGTTCTCATTTTTTGATGACCCACTTACACTTATCATGCTGATGCTAGTGGTGGCTGCATGTTTTCGGAACTGTGCAACACATCACTGTAGTCTGCATGTATGACCTGTTCCAGTTTCAGTTGACTTTAAAAATATCAATGCTTGAGTATAGAGAGACTTGTTTTCATCATTGGAGAAATGATATCATGTTCAAGTTGGATTGATCTGCTCATCAGTTACTTCAACCTATTGAAAATATATATAAATATAGTTTAACAAAATCCCAATCTAAATAAAACAACATGTTAGATCCTCTCGCATACTCGCTACACAACCTCTAACAACATCCCATAGAAGGTCACGTCAGATGTCAAATACGGAACAACTCTAGACTTATTCGTTCCAATATATGAAATACAATAATTTTGCAGTTGACTATTTGATTGGTTAATAGAATTTGACCTCTGACATGACACTCTACAGGATGTTGTTAGATTTAGGCAGTATCTAACATTTAATATTAATTGGATGGACATAGTCCCTAATGCCGTTCTAGTAAAAGCTTTTGTTTGATTAATTTCACATTTTAAGGTGGAATATCCCTCTGATAAGAGAGATAACTCTTCTGATAAGCGAGATAACTTTCTTCAGACATATTGTCATGAAATTCAGTGAATTATCATGTCAGAGTTTACAAGTTTCATTCATGGGAACCATTTTATGGTCAACTCATTCAAACTTATTATATGGTACAAATGTTGATTTATAGTTTCTATTGCTAGTATGTACATTAATGATTTACAATAATTTACTTAAAACATTCATACTCAGTTCCTTTAAACAGTGTAAATTGAAAAATCTCTATCTCTTAAAGTATAATTCTTTTAATTGTACAGAAATTTCAGATGCAGTATTGTTTATAAACATTTAATTAATATTTTGTTTCATTAAAAAATATTTTCAAGGGCGATAATGGAACGATAACTGTTGTTTATGTATGCGTGTTATTTTACATGCACAGAAAACAATTTGTAATTGTGATTTAAAAAGCAGCGCTTCAGTATGTTTTCTAATTGGAATTAGATAGGTATGAAAGTAAATATTATTTTTATATAAACCTCATATTTCTAATTTAATTGTGAGATAAAAAATAATAAATCTTTCTATTTACCATATCAAATTTTCTTCACATTATGATTTGACATATTATTCATTTCTGAAAAAAGTAAGCAACGCTTCATACTTCAAACTATTTTCCATTTGAATTTAATGCTATAGTTGTTGCTGAAAATCAATGTCTGGATTTTTTAAAAAAAAGTCGTGAAATTTGGAGCAGAGGGATATTGCCCCTTAAGCATTTTTTTTTATCAGAATGATTAAAAATGAAATCTAAAAATTTATCAAGTGTAAAATATCATTAGTTTATTAAAGATGCCTCTTTAAAACACTTGACTAGGGGTAATGAAATAAACAAACTTGAATTTATTTAAATGTACCTGAATATATATGCATACATTTGTTCCTGATTTTCAGAATAAATTAAGGATTTTTCTTTCATTCTACTTGTTCATCAAAATATTTTTTTATTTGAATAACAGCTAGAGGCCCATAGACCTTATAGGTATCATGTAACAACTTTCACTCAATTGAATTTGGTTCGTGTTTTAAACAAAAAGCCATGAAATTCCAAATTTTGAAAGATGCACCATTGTTTTTCATGATTATACACTTAGCATGCTTACTTTGGTTACTCAATACACAAGGGTAGATCAGAGTAATAAAGATAAAATGCAATTCCATTTTAAAACCACCAGTTGTGTACCCCACCCCACAGGAACCACTAACCCTGGGGCCACACATTTCAAAATTTTCTAAATGTTATCTTAAGTTTTTTTCATCATAAATGGTTGATTAATTCCAAAGAGCTATATGGACCAACCCTAGTACTAGAACCCCTGACCTTGGGGCCATGAATTTCATAATTATGGTAGATGACTCAGTGCTCATTACAATCATGGCAACAGTTTGACTGCTTGATGTCCAGGAGTAAAAAAGAAGGGGGGGGGTGTCATAAAATTTACAAATTTTGTTCCCCTTCATTGTTGGTGCTTTGTACCAAAATTGGTTGAGCGGTTGCAAGGAAGAAGCTGAAAATGTTCAAATGTCAACACACGACAGACTAACACAGATAGTAATAGGTCACCTGTAAATAGGCCTGTTTATAAATACTTATTTTAAATAAATCAGAGAATTTTAGTAGGTGGCTCGCAAAATGAGACTTTCTAAGAAAATGTTAACATCTGTTAATTTGATGGAAATGCCGAACATATCAAGATATCATATAAAGCTTAAAAAGTAGAGGAAAGCAGCTTACACCCCCCCCCCCCCCCCCCCCCCCCCCCCCTTCCCCCACAACACACACTCTGACAACCACTGACTATGATAAATAGAGAGCTTTAAATTATACAGTAAGATTAAGAAAACAATAGAAAATAAAAACATAAACTTTGTGCTTTAGTCCTTAATTTCCTAAAATAGAGTTACATAAGTTCTATTATACTTTTTTAACAGAAGTATTCTTCATCCTCTCTTAGTTTTCAGATGATTTGTTCCATGGATATCTGAAATTAAAATTGATCGAGTTAGTACAGTACATAACAGTAATAACTTTTTTGTTTTTAGCATGAGCTCAGAAAAGTCCCAAAATCCACTTGCATGCCCATTTCCTTGCACCTGACATATAGTGAAAATTCTAATGGACACATGACAAAGAAGAAAAAATGCATGATTGGAAATTGTATCATTTTAAAATGGACACAGTCACACTCTGGTCTAATTCTAAGTGGCAGTCCTATCAGGCTATCTCAACCTCAATTTACAAGATTTTTAAATGCAATTATATCTGAGAGTGAGAAAAATTAAATAAGTTATAATTTTCCATAAAAGCAAGACTACATCTAAATTATGTTTGTTTAAGATATGTAGGCCTTCTCCGATTCAAAATTATAATTCATTTAATAATTAATTTCATTTAATATTCTATTTCACATCAAGGAAAGATCATTTGTATAATAACACAGAACTAGGACTCTTCGGTGGCCATTTTTGAAAACTGATTTAATTAGTGATAGAAATATGGCAAATGGTAAAAAGCTTTAAACAGAAAGATTACAAAAATCTTATTTGTGTATCAGTCATTTTATCAAGTCAATAAAATTTAGAGATCATAAAAGTATTATGTCAAATTTTCATAATGTGTCACATTGCCAGTGGTTAGAGTGACACGCCTAGAGTTGGGGAGTAAGAGCTGATTCCTACATCACGGGTCTGAATCCAATGTAGTACATGTACATAGAGACTGGTCCCTCTGATGAGACTGTTGGTGACGTGTCCACATTAATAAAAAGTTCTCTAAAGGGTAACAAATAAATACAAGTATATGACTGTATAATGAATCAATAAATGTAACTTAAGAAATTGAAAATGGCCAACTGCCCATTTCATCAAGCTCCAGCCTATCATTATAATACACACTTCAGGTAAATACTGTTCTGTTCATATCAAGAGAATAATTTTTATGGTTGTGATTTCTGATGTATTTAGAAACTGCACCACATTTAATACACAAGGTACAATAAAAGTATGGTATTTCTAATGAACAATTACACCATGCACACTACCGGTAAATCAAGTTTTAGGTTGCTAAAATAGTGTTAATTGTTTCATATAGATCAAAACATGCACATGTGTCAGCATGAAATTACAATTGATCTATTAATTTAAAATAAATATCATTTTAACATTTTACGTTTAATTAATGATAATTATGCCTTGTAAGAAAAGATGTTTATGTATCTTCGTGTATAACTATTTTGTTCACGTACGACAATGTTTCAAAATCATAATGTATGGTATGAAACTTAATAAAATACTTCAACTTGAATAATGTGAGGCATTCTGAAAATTATCAAGTCACTTTCATATCCCAAAATCTGCAAGTTCTCAGGAATTTTACTTTCATGACTATACAACATGTACAAATTGGCATTTCACAGTGATACAATACTACACGATGGTAACAGGTCCGTTCGCCCGATCTACTTGTTCGCCGGAGTCCGTTCGCGCAGGGTCCGTTCGCCCAAGAATTTCTTCGCCCAAAATCTTGTTCGCCCTATTAAAGTTTCGCCCAATACTTATATATTATATATATATATTCTATATATATATTAACTTATTTGAAATAAAGATTAACATACATGTAATTTTTTTTCCTTTACGAACTTGGATTATTTTTTCTGAAACCAGGAACAATGTTTATTTAGTCTTAATTAATTTTTCATATGATTCTAATGCATTTATTAATGATTTGGTGTTTGCACTATAATTAATCAGATGACTAATCTCAATGTTAATTGGGGGGATACACCCGTGTTGTTTTTACGAATTGCGCTATGTTTTGAAAACAATTAAGGGACTGCGCTATGTTTTGAAAACAATTAAGGGAATGAGACGTTAATAGATCCCTTATAGAACTGAGCAGCGGATCCTGAAGGTTTTACCTTTGAAGAATCTCCCTTTGATCTCAAAAAAAGATTTATAAGAAGATGGAAAATGAAAATTCAACATTCAACTGTCAACCATGGCAGAGGTCAACCCCCCGTGCCTGTCCTGTGGGAGAGAAGTACGTCCGCGACAGCATGCCATCAGCTGTGATGCATGTGAAGGTTGGCAGCATCGCCTGTGCAACACTGGTAAGAATTACATTTATTTTACAACAACTTTAATAAATGAAATTATTTAATAGTTCTAGTTTAGAGGAATCTAGCAAAAAATGTGATATAGAAATAGAAATAAATAAATAAACAAATATTTATCTTTTACCTTTTTGTAATTAGCATACACATTTCTTTTGTATATATTTATTTTAACTGAATAAAAATAAATAAATTAAAATAAATAATTAATCAAATTCCATGCAATCAAATCAAATAAAAAAAGGAGAAAGAATAATGCAGATTTCATTGTTTATTATTTACCAATGAAGGATATACTTGTATTAATATTTAATTAATTTATTTTTTCATGAATATATATGTGGAATATTAATTTTTTTCGTTACTAAACTTGAGAAAATTTGGGATGCAAGTCATATATGTAGTCAACAAATATAATATATAAAATGATATGTCAAATTGAGTAAAAATAAATAATAAATTACCAAAAATTCAATTTCTCAAAATCTACTGAGTAATTTTGTATGTGAAAAATACTCCAAAAATATTAATAAAATTAACATAACATTGTCGACAACAAATTTAAAATATTTAAGAAACCTTGTATTTTTATTTTTAAAATAAACGACACCATATCTCCTTCATAAGTGAAATGCTACCATACGTACCTTCCCTTTTTTTTCTTCTTTTCATTGTATGTTTATTGTCATACTTTGCACATATGGTATACTGTATCATTTATGCTATTGTATCATAATCATGATAAAAATATTGATAATTTTAATTACAAATATGATGACTATTTTATATATTGTACCTGGTGTATCATACTGATGTTGGTTTTGGTGTGAGTCCAATAAATGGACTTGCTTGCTGATTATTAAACAGAGCATTTAATTAAATGTGATGAAATAATATTATTCAGCATAGTCTTAGTACATTTATAATTTCAATTTTCACTTGGTTCATAAGTTGAGGCAATTGCTATCATGTGTAATTTAAATACATATTGTAAAATATGAATATATTGAGGAAACTTTAATTTTGTTGGCAAATTCATAGATGATAACATGATATTGTAATATTAGTCTTTTACACATACATGTCATAGATATGCCTGGATATTGTTGTTAAGGATGAAAAATATCAAAGTCGTAGTTTTTTTGTGTATTTACATCTTATCTAGCTTCTATTGAACAGGGTATGTAAATATATAAATGATAAAATGATATAGTAATATTATTAGTATATGTACATTTCATTTGAATCAGTATCTGTAATTGTAATTGGAATATGGATAATTAACAGAGTAGATAAATCAAAGAGTGGTAAGCAATTCTAGTATATTTGTTTCGAACAAAAAAAATGCAAACTTTAAAATTTTCCAGGGATATCACTACAACGGTACAACGATGTAAAACATGGTAGGGAGGAGCTCCACTGGTTCTGTGGACCATGTGAGGCGAGGTATTGGCCAGCCGACCCACCAGCTGATGTTGACCCTCCAGTCCAGCCAGCCGACCCACCAGCTGATGTTGACCCTCCAGTCCAGCCAGCCGACCCACCAGCTGATGTTGACCCTCCAGTCCAGCCAGCCGACCCACCAGCTGATGTTGACCCTCCACAATCAGTCAGTATTATTTCGAATGTACCAAAAATGTAGAAAAAAAATCATTTTATGATATTCTACATCAAATCTGGGCGAACGGACCCTGTGCGAACGAAAAATTGGGCGAACGAACTCTGGGCGAACAAAAAATCGGGCGAACGGGGTATCGGGCGAACAATTTTTTGGGCGAACGAACATGGAACCCTACACGATGGCATTCTCCCAACATGATGCCCTCTAACACAATGGCATTTTCCCGACATGATGCCCTCTAACATGTCTAATATTTACGATTCTAGACTGCACGTATGTTAAAAATATATTCAACCCCTTCCTCGGCTGTGCAGCACAGTCTTCCATCAATAATAAAAACAATTCAGCAAAAAATAAATGTAGGATTTAAGAAACTACTCCTGCGAATAACAGTGAACACATCCAGCAGTTATAATGAACAACAAAGCTCACCTTTTCTGAAAGAACATAAGCGTGGGGGCAAATCTTTCGATTTTCCGAAAAAGTAAACACCGGATACAAGTTCATAACGATATTATCCTCTAAAACCAACCTACATTTAAAATTCCGGAATACTACAACACGTATTTTTTTTTTTTACATGATTGGGACGATGCAGAAAAACATATTCTATTAATCATACGAAAACATGCAAGATAAATACAATGATAAAAAATGCATGCGGCCGTTTTAACAGCACTTAATTATACGTATTACAACCTAAGCTGAGAATGACTTACAAGGCGCTTTTTCAAAATAATTATAACTGTACAATGGCCGATTTGAATTTTTGGAACGCGCCGTTTTGACCCAACTTTATTCTTACGATTGCAGACAATAAAAACAAAAATAAAGGTGCTCTGAACTGTAAGAAATAACTACCTGTATCTAATCTGTCGTTTGAGGTGCCTTTCTTCTGTGTGGAGTCAAAAGATCTTCTCATCTCTGTTGTTTTTCTTGAGCAAGTTCTTGGTGTTTTCTTCGCCATTTTGTCCCTCTTTTTTCTACTAAAAATCTAACCAATGAGAGAGAAGCATTCTATCGCGATACGCCACCTAGTGATTGAATGTCAGTCTCTACGGAAAATTCAACTTAGTTTTTGAATTTCTCTTTTGGCAATATATTTTTTTTTTTTACCTTTTCATTGCCGACGTCTTTGCATTTATGACAACAGAATGAACATGTCAGTTTTCAATGCTTAAATAAAATTGATCATGGAATTGAATTTGGGTATAAAACCGTATTTTAAGTCCCTTATTATCTATCATGATTATGGTAATTGTTGAAACGGACTGTCCAGATTTTTACAACATGGACAAATAGATTGAAAATCATATACACAAGTACTTAGATTATTGTGTAAAAAAAAAAAGTATACAAGTAAACAAAGTTATGCTGATGGCATATTATCCACAAACAAGAGCGATTTTACCCCTCCCCTTTTCTAGTAAGCGATACGAATTAGCTGGTTAAAACTTTATCACAAGTCTGAAAATTTATGTTTATATGTTTTTTTAAAATCTTAATCTACGGAATACATTTTTATTTGTATCCTAAAATAGAATAGGTAAATTAACAAAGTACATGTAAGTTTATAATCATTGTTATATAGTGAATTATATAATGATTAATTTTGACCTTCGTAACTTAAATAAAACGACGAAAAAAATTACAAACTTTATGTGTATTAGAATGTGTTGTATGAGTCTCTGTCTCTCTCTCTGTCTCTCTCTCTCTCTCTCTGGTATTGCTTTTTATACCTTTGTGAAACTCAAAAGCAAAATTGGGGTTATAAGAATTATTAATCAATTGTTAAAAATTTCCATCTCAGAAAATATCTACATGTACAATTTTAAAATTGTAAATAGCGCTACTTCTCAGCATTAGATGATGAACAAAAAATTATGGGTTATTACTCAATACAGAAGATACGGAAACTCTTAATTTTGCGGTCAAATTCATAAATGATATCATATAATAGTAGTCATAGTCCTTTACACATGTCATGTATATTGTTGTTTACTAAATGTATTTATCTCTTTTTTTTTATCTTTTCCTTATTATTGTAATAACCTCACACTTTTCTGTTTTGGACTCTAAATTAGAAATAAAGCGTTGTTTTATTGTGTACTTAGAAATAACCTAGAGAAAAAAGTTATGAAATAAAACTCATAGACTTTGTTTTCATTAGGTTGCGTGTCATCGATCTCTAAATATTTTCAATATTTGAAGTTTACAATGGTGGCAAACAAGGAATACCATTAATTGTCGATTTTTTTGTGATTGCCGATTTTTTTTATGGAGAAATTGTAAAATAATATTGAAATTTTTAAAATAGTTTATTGAACTAGCAAATATTCTCCTTACCTGTAGATTATTTTTATTTATTAGATTGATCTATAGATAAATATCTGAGAGGTTTTTCCTTTTTTTCTTTTAATCACCAACACATGGTAAACTTAATAGCTTAAATGAAACATTTTATATAAAATATTTTATAAAACAATCTTATTTGTTTGATTTACATGTAGGTGAAGTTTTATATATATATATATAGTGTGTGTGGAATTTTTTTTATTATTTTTAAAATTTGAATGTTCAGACACCTTGGGGTCATTACTAGTGACTATACTGTGTATACCATGTATTGTATGTATATATTACGCCTGGTCACAGCCCATTGTTCCTCTAAAGGTAGAAAAACCTCTCAATCCACATAGAATATACAAAAAATACACCAACACGGTAGCAGGTGTCTTCGCGACACGTGTCTCCCCACCTGTGGCACGTGAGGACAGGTGCCCGCGAGTGGGGTTCAAAGAAAAGGATAGAAAATTTGATCAACTTACATACTACTTTTATTTAAAAAAAAGGGTTTTCTGAATCACAAATATAGCACATTATACATCTCAATACGAATATAATTGAACATATTACTAAAAAGTATAGGTACCGCGTTTTCAGTAATATTGCATTAATTAACATCACGAAAGCAAGATATTTGAAAAAATAAATAAATAAAATGCCTACACATAACTTGCAATCTAATTAAAATGAGATTTTCCATTCGCTCACAGGGTATTGTTTCACAAAAACAGACTTTTTACATTAATAAGTCTTCCTCGTGCGTGCGAATAAGCATTTGGGTAACAAATGAGACGATTTAATTTTAATTAGATTGACATAATATGCTGCAGATCTTAAGAACCATGGCATCAATTGTTCAGGACATGTTTTCTTACAATATTTACCCACGGCTTTCGAATAAGATTAACGCCTGTTAAACGAATAAAATGTATTCATGAGAACGGAGATAAAAATACATATATGTAGATATTAAATCAATGTAATTATAAAAAACAACTAGTAACTATTGCACTATATATCCATGTTGAACACTGAATAATAAAAAGGCTTCCTAGTCAGTATGTGTTGTTAACAAATTGAATTATTGAAATGATAATTTTCCATTCAAGATACATGTATATAAAGGAATTTAAATGCAAAACTTGCTATCTCAGATAATGTAAACGTTCGCTCTCGTAATTATCTGTATTTCATGCACCATGAAGACACACTAATTTTCTTTTTTAAACAAATTAACATTAAATGTAATTGTAGACAGAGGAACCTTTATATATAAACCTTGATTTGTTCTCATATACGGAAGTAATATTTTGTGAAAATAATGTATGTTATGAAAAGAATTAATTCCCGAGGGGGAGTCTCGAGTTGGGTAATGTAGAAAATCCTGGTGAGGGGAATCGATTTTGTTTAAAAATGATATTTTTTTAATTCCAGCACAATATGAAATAAATTAATATGAAGCAAGGATCTTGTATAAAGTGCTTATCATTGATATCAATATCGGTATGTGTAAGTTTACACAGAGCACATCTCAAAATCTGAATATGAAGTAGTAGATACCTGGTATTTAAAAATAAAACCATTTTCTAAAATGTATAAGTAAATAAAAATATTATATGAAAATTTTCTACCCTTTTGAAAAAAAAATATAATAAAAAACAGTTTCAGTTCGGTTTCTAAAAAAGCATGCGAAAACCATACAGAATCAAAATCAATAGTAAAGATAATATGAGTTGATTTTTCTACCCTTTTGAAAAAAAAATAATAGAAAAAGTTTCAGTTCGGTTTCAGCATGCGGAAACCATATGGAATCGAACTCAATAGGGAAAAAATCATTTGAATTGATTTTTTTACCCATTTGAAAAAAAAAGAAAAGAAAAAGTTTCAGTTCGGTTTCAGCATGCGGAAACCATATGGAATCGAAATCAATAGTTTCCGGAAACTGAAACCTACTGAAACTAAAAAGTATCGTTAAATGTATATTTTATTAAATTTTACATTGGTTTCCGTTTTGCGGAAACTATTTGGAAACAAACCTAATAGTTTCAGCATACGGAAACCCTACAGAAACTTGCTGAAACTATTATATAGTTTCCGCATTGCGGAAACCATACAGGAAACTTCAACGCCAAGTTTCAGCAAGGTTTCCATATAGTTTCAGTTTTGCGGAAACTGGACTTTTCACCCAGTGGGAAAGTCAGTTATTATGATATAAGTCCAAACACATTAAATTACATAAGTATTTACAAAATACATGACGAAGCATAATGAAATTAATATTTTAAGCAATTCATTATCAATGAATATTTCCTACATAAAAAAAATAACATTCATTTAGGAAACTGGCCCACTAATAAAAATTAGCACATCTTGAGAAATAATCATTTTTTTAAAGAGATTTCTTTTACTTTACTTAAGTCATTATTCAGAAAATGCAAAAAGCACAATTTAGTTTTATATATTATTAACACACTACTTTAAAAATACCTAAATTTGATGTTGACAAAAAATAGAATTTATATCAAGAAAAATTGAAATCTTGGAAATGATATGTCTATCAAAAAGTGAATAGGTTGCAGAGTCACTTGAAACACAGGCAACTGAAATAAATGTATCAATTTTTTTTCACAATGCAAGATCATTTATTCCAATGACATACTCCTGATAAGTGCAATAGCACTGGTCCAATTCATCCTCCTTTAGTTAAGGATTCCGGGCCTGTGCAGCTAACAAAAATATGCAGCAATCTGACTAGGCTGCAACACCTCACTAGCTTTAAACCTTTTACTTCCATCAATGTTACAAGAAACTCTCATGCACAGGATGAAAAGTCTAGTTTCCGAAATGAAAACAAGAGGCCCTGAAACTTGGCGTTGAAGTTTCCTGTATGGTTTCCGCAATGCGGAAACTATACAATTGTTTCAGCAAGTTTCAGTAGGGTTTCCGTATACTGAAACCATTAGGTTTGTTTCACAATAGTTTCCACAAAACGGAAACCAATGTAAATTTTAATGAAACGTCAATTAAACGATACGTTTGAGTTTCAGTAGGTTTCATTTCCGGAAACTATTAATACCCAGAGGTCCATATGGTTTCCGCAAGCTGAAAACTGAAACTTTTTCTACTTTTTTTTTTCAAAAGGGAGAAAAATCAACTCATATGCATATGTTCTTTTTACTATTGATTTCGATTCCATATTGTTTCCGCATGCTGAAACCGAACTGAAACTTTTTCTCTATCAATTTTTTCGAAATTTAGAAAAATTTTATATCATCCTTACATTTATTTACTCATTTAAAAAAGAATAGTTTTATTTTTAAA